TCCGTACGATTCTTTGAGCTAAAGCTCTTGCGAATGGATCTTTTATGTTCTTCACCTCCTTCGGAAGAAATGCCGGATACCCATCTCCGTTCGCCGTTATCCGTCGTTGTCGCCGGAATCTTGTCGCCGGAGGTGGTGGAGAGACAATTTGCAAGCTACCAATCATTACTCTCTCTCTTTCTCTTGAGCTCTGCTGGTAGTGTGTGTGTGTTTTAAATAAAGACTTCTTGAAGCTTTTGTCCAGAAGTTTGTGAATTAAATCTCTAATTTTTTTGTTTATTCTTGTTATTTTTTGGGTTAATTAATTATTTGTGACTGTTAAGAAATTAACTATATATGGAAAGGAGAATTACGTTTGGACTTGAACCATTTGAATGTAAATTTAAAATTAAATAAGACAACTACCCAGTTTCGTATTTCATTGTACTTTTTATTTTCTTGTTTTTATTAATTGGATCATTTAATGGCAATATTTGTTTTTTTATTTACTGTTTTTGTTCTTTTATTTAGAAATGACCACAACAGGTCATTCTGACATTTTACACGTTTTCCATTTATGAAAGCTTGAAGACAAAAAGACATAAAAACCAACAATTCATATTTCTTTTTCTCTTTCCTTTTTTCTTTCACCAAAGAAATCAGGTTATTTTTATGTTGTTGGGCTACGAACTTAGAATTCTGGTGTACTCTCCCACCAAACAATTGTCTTGATTTAATATGTTGATCTATTGACACCTGTGATGCCTAACTTTCGAGGGGCCTAAGGCAAATTTTGAAAATATAATTTTTTATTTCATATAAAAAATTACATGAATTCATAAAAAAAAAAAAAACTAATGAAGAAATGTGAAACTTTCATAAAAACAAATGTATCCAGTAGTGTTATAAAACAAATTAGATACAATTTTCAGTTTAGAGACAAACTATACAGTTTATAATTAAACTTTCATAATTAAATCAGTACAGATTTTGTAAGAATTGAGGATGCAAATATGACTTCTTACTTCATGGATGTGCAA